TGGTGCGTATGAGCGAAGTCCACATGGCAAAATGTACATGGTGAAAGCATAGACCCTTGCCAATGTTGGTACAATCCGGTAGCTTGCGAGGCCAAAATGATGCGTCATATCCTGAAACCGCCATAACTGAGTACCGCATAGGATGCAATGACTCCTGAGATAATCCCCAACGCATGGATTCAGGCTTAGACCAGCAGGGTCAATCTCAAGGATCTGCGGCAGCAACGAAGAGCGTGCATTGGCCAAGGATGTCGACATAACCTGCAATGGGTCAAATTGGGAACAGGATGCATGTTCAATGTGAGTTCGAAGTGCGTTCCAAGTGGGAAACGAATGATGACAATGCCTGCAAATGGAAGTCCCTTCGTCCGCGTCACGTACAGCAGAAAAGACTTGGATTCTGTGATGTTTCATGCCATGTAAACGATCTTCATGAACAAGAAGGAGGGCCTCCAGCCATGAGGCGCTCAATTTGTTCAAGCATGGACTGAGTGCCCTGGAGCCACCATACAGACCAGTGCTCTGGAGAGAAGGGACCTCAGGCTGAGGTCTACGCATCCGAGTCAAATTTGCACGGACCTGCTGACAATGGGCAGCCGCCTGATGGCCTCATGGGTGGTCAGGAAGATATGCATACTGATGTTGGGCACACAGTTTATCCAGCACACTAGTTCTAGCAATGTTGGTCAGGAGGCCAAGGATCGTGGTCCTCAGTGGGTCTTGAAGCGCAAGCGGGCGCAGGTTGGCCGCGTGGTCAGGGGTCTTACCAGGCTTAGGCAACAAGAACAAAAATCTATCTTTCCATTGCTGAGGAATGACGGGAGGACTAGAGGACCACCAGTGAACCAACAAGGGATACAACTGGGCAGCAGTTTCACGTGAAAGGGCTTTAATGCACACATTGGGACATGTGCCTTGCGCCGTGCTCTTCATGATATTCAAGCGTGCAAACGCTCGGGTCAAGTCAGCTTCAGTGAACGGGACACCTGGAGCCGGTCCAGTCGGTGATCTCAGCATGGGTCCATCCCATGCAGTCCGAACAAAGTGTTGCAGGTGTGCAAAAGCCTCAACCGGACTTAACAACTCTCCCTGGTTTCCACGAATGTTGATTCGGGGAAGAATTTCCTTGGGGGAAAGTTTACGAACCATGGCGTGTGCCTCAGCAATCATGTGATCAAATCGATCCTTCCTTGCCTGTCGAGACGCTGGTTGTTGTTGTTGTTGTTGTTGTTGTTGTTGTTGTTGTTGTTGTTGT